CTTGCACTTGTCTATTCCGATAGGGAATTCACATGTTTCACCTTATTTTTATTTTTTATAAATCCTATTCCTTTACCCCTTGTGTGTATTGAGGGGGTTCGGATTTATTTATTTATGGTTAGTATTTCTTTAGCGCTACACTGTTTTGTATATTTAAAAACTGGAGCTCAGTCACCTGTTTTTACTGCCCCCAGACAGCCTATGTGAAAGAGGCCTTAAAAGGGCAAAATTATCTATGTGCAAGCACTGAGCCTTTAAAGACCAGTAGATGACCATGCCTTAAGTACTTTATAATCTCCTGGCCTCTGTGATTCGTGTATTCCAGACCTCTGCACTGTGTTACGCACTCATTACCCTTCACTAAGTTTTAAGCCCCTCCCACTGTTAGCATGGTTTTTTTCTCATCCACATGCCAATTCTCCTCTGGGTGCCCAAGAGGGGACCCTGCCAGGAAGTCTGTACAGAGCCCCAATGATTTCTATTTGTGGCCCTTCTAATAGAACACTGCAATGGGAGAGGAGAACTCTGATTCACTGCATTGGCAGCTTGATTTAGCCCCTCCCACTGGTAAGGGGAAAAAGCATGGGGCAGTTTGAGAAAGCAAAGGTTATTGATGAGACCCAGAGCTGGGAGAGAATGCTGGCAGGAGCCTACAGAGACATCCAGCAGGGACCATGGTGCAAGTGGCCTGCAGTACAGGAGAAGTACTGCTGTACTGCTAATTTTGCCACACCCACAATTTATCACGGCCGTCGTGCTGCCTAATTTTTGTCCTCTGGGTAACCAAGGCTAAACACCCCCCCCCCCCCCCCTACGCCCTGCTGGTTTCTGTTTTGACTACTTTACTGATATATGTCATATTTGCTATTTCATTAAAGGTGTGATTTTAACTGCACTTTCTGTCCCTGCCTGGTTCATGGTTCCTGACACTAGTATGCTGCAGTCATTAATAAAATTCCCTGTAGTGGCAGCACGCTGGAGATCTGGACAGCTGCTCAACACAGTGCACATCAGTCTGGATCTCTAGCAGACCAACAAGCATCCTGCCCAGTGCTCCAATCTAAGACATTGCTTTAAGTGTTACTAAACCCAGGACCCTGCATTCACTATATCTGATCTCCCACAGTACACAGAACATGAAAATGCAAATATTTTAGTAAATATAAACTGCTAAATACCTTTTCTCATCACCAGTTAGAGCAGTCTTGTGTCTTCTATCAATGTCCAGCAGAGCACTGGTTAAAGATTGTAGGAAGAGTTTTCATTCTCTCCTGATTGTCCTATGAGGCCTGACCCTCTGTCTGGACAGCACTGATTGGTCCTGTGCTGATCACATGCACTCTCCCAAGGAAAAAATAAACTCTCTAGCAATACACACCAAACTGAGCATGTGCAGCTTGCCTCCAAGGTAGATACTGTAGGTTGGGGACAGTAGAATAAGGGAAAGATCAGAGAAGACAGGATCAAACATCCTTTTTACACAATGTAGAGAATTAACCCCTTAGGTTCCTCACTGAGTATAACAAGCATGCTTTACTGCATATACAGACTGATTTTACTGTTGTGGGTTAGCAACACTTTAAAGCAGAGTTCCGACTGGAAAAAAAAAATAAAATTCAGCAGCTGCAAAAACTGTTGCTGCTGACCTTTAAAATACAGTCACTTACCTGTCCCTTGGTCCAGCGGTGTCCTCACAACCGCTGGTTTCACTGGCCGTCTTCTCTCCCTGGTGCCAGCATCTTCAGTGTGGGCACAGCTTGCGGCTTCACAGCTGGGTGCCCACTGCGCATGCGTGAGAATCGCTGCACTTTGTGTATGGCCCCGTAGTCTTCTGGAACCTGTCACGTGTCCCAGAAGACTACAGGGAGGGAGGATAGGAGGACAACTTCCACGTCCGATCGCCTAGGTGTTCGCAGCAGAAGTGGGAGCGGGTACCTGTCAAATTCGGGTACCCACTCCCCAGAGGTGCCAATACTTAATGGGGAGCGGGGGACAAAGGCTTAAAGCGGAACGTCCCCTTTTGGGTGGAGCTCCGCTTTAAGGAATGAGATAATAAGGACTAGAACTGTGGAATCTTCCAAAATCCTATGTTCCAGTTACTAGAATGCATCTCTAGGAGATTCATTTTTTTTTTTTAATTGTCCACAGCCTAGATCTCTTGTGGTGTAGAAGAGTGCCAGTGTTGCTGATTGGAACACTGTGCATAAGTGTGTAGGACCTCCAGCATGCTGGTATACAGGGTATTTAATAAAAGGCTCACAGCACTCTAGTACGTTAGATAAAAACAGATAGCACATCCTTTACAGTCTATGTGGGTTGACTTCATTACTGTAATAAAACTTAAAGGATCAACTAAGATTTAAGCTGGATACTAAAACATGTATGTCATAATTAGTAACAATCATTATTGAATTATAACATGGACCTTAAGGTCATAGCAGTGTCAGGAACTGTTTGACAATCTCAATCAGTAAAATAGATTATCAAATAAGTCTGAATTGTACAAGTTACACACTGCAACTAGATCTGTTTTAGAATGTGCAATTCACACTTTTCCTGTAACACATACCCCTGCCAGCAAAATATGTACTTTCTACTTACATATTTCAGTTGAAGAATTGAAAATAAAGTATGACAATGCACTCGTTACCCAAAACTGGTTTTTCCTGAACTCACAGTATCGTTTGATCAGTGAAACAAAATAAGGCAAGAGGTATTCAAATGTATTTCCACAAGACTGGTAGCAAGTACACTGACCATGTGCCTAAAGACTGTCCACTGGGAACTTTAACTTTTGTGCACTGGAGAGGCTGGTAAAATCACTTATCGTAAGTAGGCTGCTTCTGTCCTGGATCAATACCTTTGTTGCAATGTTCAAGTCATTGGTGTAATTTCTCTTTGTGACACATTTTTTAATATGTTTGTTATTCTGATATAGGGTTGAGGGTATTCTTTGGGGGGTGGGCCGGTGAATGTGTTGACTATAGCCACCAGCATTTTTTTATATTTTAGAATCTATACTACAGAAGGTGAGGGTTATTATGGTTGCTATGGGCAACACCTACATTTTCCTTTTCCAGCATGTTTAAAGAATGTATTTTCTAATATTTCCTCTTGTAATTTTAAGATCATTGCTGCGAACACTAAGTTTTTTTCTTTGCAGTCATGATGTCATTATAGCAAGTATGTGGTATCATGAAAGGTAAAACGTCAGTGAGAGCACAGTCTTTAGCATTAGAAAACAGATATTTAGTGATGGGGGAATCTGCCTGGGTTTATTCTGCAGAAAGATTTGACAAGTCTGGTTCAAAGTTTGGCAAATCCCATTAAAATCACTAGGGATGAATTTTGGGGGGTAATGCAAACTATTGTAAAAGAAGGTACAGGGAGCTGAGCACTGTTATAGGGGACATTTTTAAAAATGTTGTGCAGTGGAGATAGGGTTTTTTTTATTGTATCTTGGAGGGTGACTTTGAAACAATTACCAATCTTTTAAATGGCAAGCTTAGGAGATCCTCTTTAGATGCCTATGGTGTTACAGAACAGTACGATTTTCAAGGACAGCGTCAGCCTCAAAGTATTCTGGCATCACACATTTTGGATGTGTAATCAGCAGCAACACCTGATTTTTCGATCATGCAGTAATAGGCCTGAATAAACCACTTAAAGTAGATGCCACAACAAATTTAAAAGCTATAGGGAAGTTTACTTAAAAAAAAAAAAACTAAAGCCTTCAACAATAGTATGATTTGTGCGGTTCTTTTTTTTACAATAGAACACAGCATTGACTTAAAGGTTTAATAAAATTTAAAAACAGAGTGCACAAAAGCACTTCAAAACCACAACCCCACATTTCCCAAACCCCCTCCCATCCCTGTATCATCAGTTATTACCAACGTTTTCAAATTAGGTTCCAGGTATTTGTTTGTTAGAAACTGGCTAGCATCAGGAGAGTATGCAATCACTCAAACATGCAGCAAATAGAAAGAGACAAGGTTAGATTTTCTATTTTTTTTTGTAATAACAATGTATTTTTTGAGCAACAATAGCCACAACTATTATACCGTGGCTGGACAGTGCCTCACAGGGATAAAGGCAATAGACAAAGGATCCTGCTGACTCTAAGACAGAATCAAGTCCTTGTCTTCTTCCTGCTGCTGTGCGTTCATAGCCCAGGCTATCAGGCCGCTTAGCGTGTGCTCCAGGAAGAGCACAAGGGGAGTTGTATCAATAATCTCCACATCGCTGCAGCTCTGCAGAATGTACCAAAATGCTGCATGTGTCCTGATTGTTCAGTCATTGACACATTGAAAAGAAGCTCCCAAGAGCTTGTTCTCATCGCATAATTGCACAGGTACTCATCTCACTTATGGCACGCTGATGCTGCAGCCTCTGCTAACATTGAGATCCATTGTATGGAGTGTCACAGATGAGGCGGTTTGTAAGTAGTACATGTTAGTGATGCATTTCTGCTAGGTAAACCATGGCCAGGTATGACCATCTTTATGATGAACCTCTGCAGCTCCAGGTTAATGACATGCAAGGCCGAATCTAGCTTGTCTTATGTAGGAGTGCAATAAAAAAAATGTCATGGGGGCAGAGAATGGGAGGTCAGCAGGGTAGTGTAAAGGGGTCAGCAGGACAGTGTACAGAGATCAGCAGGGCAGTGTACAGGGATCAGCAGGGATGTGTACAGGGGTCAGCAGGGCAGTGCACAGGGTCAGCAGGACAGTTTACAGGGATCAGCAGGGCAGTGTACAGGGATCAGCAGGGCAGTGTACAGGGTCAGCAGGACAGTGTACAGAGATCAGCAGGGCAGTGTACAGAGATCAGCAGGGCGGTGTACAGGTGTCAGCAGGGCAGTGTACAGAGATCAGCAGGGAGGTGTACAGGGTCAGCAGGGCAGTGTACAGAGATCAGCAGGGCAGTGTACAGAGATCAGCAGGGCAGTGTACAGAGATCAGCAGGGCAGTGTACAGAGATCAGCAGGGCAGTATACAGAGGTCAGCAGGGCAGTGTACAAGGGTCAGCAGGGCAGTGTACAAGGGTCAGCAGGGCAGTGTACAGGGTCAGCAGGGCAGTGTACAGAGGTCAGCAGGGCAGTGTACAGAGGTCAGCAGGGCAGTGTAAAGGGGTCAGCAGGACAGTGTACAGAGATCAGCAGGGCAGTGTACAGGGATCAGCAGGGATGTGTACAGGGGGGGTCAGCAGGGCAGTGCACAGGGTCAGCAGGACAGTTTACAGGGATCAGCAGGGCAGTGTACAGGGATCAGCAGGGCAGTGTACAGGGTCAGCAGGACAGTGTACAGAGATCAGCAGGGCGGTGTACAGGTGTCAGCAGGGCAGTGTACAGAGATCAGCAGGGAGGTGTGCAGGGGTAGCAGGGAAGTGTACAGGGTCAGCAGGGCAGTGTACAGAGATCAGCAGGGCAGTGTACAGAGATCAGCAGGGCAGTATACAGAGGTCAGCAGGGCAGTGTACAAGGGTCAGCAGGGCAGTGTACAAGGGTCAGCAGGGCAGTGTACAGGGTCAGCAGGACAGTGTACAGAGGTCAGCAGGGCAGTGTACAGAGGTCAGCAGGGCAGTGTACGGGGGTCAGCAGGGCAGTATACGGGAGTCAGCAGGGTGGTGTACAGGGGTCAGCAGGGCGGTGTACAGGGGTCAGCAGGGCGGTGTACAGAGATAAGCAGGGCAGTGTACAGAGATCAACAGGGCAGTGTACAGGGGACAGCAGGGCAGTGCACAGGGTCAGCAGGGCAGTGTACAGAGATCAGCAGGGCAGTGTACAGAGATCAGCAGGGCAGTGTACAGAGATCAGCAGGGCAGTGTACATGGTCAGCAGGGCAGTGTACAGGGTCAGCAGGGCAGTGTACAGAGATCAGCAGGGCAGTGTACAGAGATCAGCAGGGCAGTGTACAGAGATCAGCAGGGCGGTGTACAGGGGACAGCAGGGCGGTGTACAGGGGTCAGCAGGGCGGTGTACAGGGGTCAGCAGGGCGGTGTACAGAGATAAGCAGGGCAGTGTACAGAGATCAACAGGGCAGTGTACAGGGGACAGCAGGGCAGTGCACAGGGTCAGCAGGGCAGTGTACAGAGATCAGCAGGGCAGTGTACAGAGATCAGCAGGGCAGTGTACAGAGATCAGCAGGGCAGTGTACAGGGTCAGCAGGGCAGTGTACAGAGATCAGCAGGGCAGTGTACAGAGATCAGCAGGGCAGTGTACAGAGATCAGCAGGGCGGTGTACAGGGGACAGCAGGGCAGTGTACAGAGATCAGCAGGGCAGTGTACAGGGTCAGCAGGGCAGTGTACAGGGTCAGCAGGGCAGTGTACAGGGTCAGCAGGGCAGTGTACAGGAGTCAGCAGGACAGAGCACAGGGGTCAGCAGAGCTGAGGAGACAGGGGTCAACAGGGCAGAGGACAGGAGTCACTGCTGGCAGAGCAGAGGACAGGGGTCACTTTTGGCAGGGCAGAGGACAGAGGTCACTTTTGGCAGGGCAGAGGACAGGGGTCACTGCTAGCAGGACAGTCAGCAGAGCTCCTTCTCCCATCCCTACACCACACACAACCTGGACACAGGCAGCAGAGCTCCCTCTCCCCACACAGGTAGCTTTGGCTTTGGGGGGGCACAACTAAAATCTGGGGGGCATAGCCCACCCCAACACCCCCCTAGATCCATTCATGGACATATGTCAGGCAAAGTATATATCAGACCAATGGGTGCTCTGTGCATGATAGGAGGAAGAAGAGGAAGGATTTGTCAGCCACTTACGGTAACTATCTCCTGTGTGTGTTATATATAGAGCAGCCGTTCTGAGCTAATAAAAAAGGCAACCGTGTCTTACCTCTAGTTGGTGCAGCCCAACCATTGCTTTGTCCTGCAGAACAACTCATTCCCTACTAACAACATATGCAGAACCTCTGCTTACTTTAGGCCTCACTGACATTTTTAATAAACTGGATTGCCCAAATTTAATGACAGATGTGGCAAAAGAGGGCATAAATATGCTGTGCTTTGGTGCACAGTACTTTCCTGCATAAGAATGAGGGGACATGCTGCAAAGGACAGCTTTGCTTGTGTCAGCAACAGATGTCAGCTGCAGTCCCCTGAATACATAAAAAAGTCCTAGGTGTCAAATACCTGCCTGCCAATTATCTACCATTGTAACCTTGCTGACCACAGTTGAAAGGTTGTTCCATGTATTATGGTTATCAAGAATTCAATCTGGTAAATTTCCACATTAATTTGCTGGGACTGCATATTTAAAGCCCTCTGGATCTGCTGCAAACTCATGGTAGAGGTGAATCCCTACAGATGTTAATAACTAATAAGTGACCTATACACAAGGATTTTAGATTGGGTTAATTTGTGCCAAGTAGATATCTTCTATAAATTTTCAGCTCATCTCCTGCTTTATTTCCTATTTATTATGTATTTTTTTATTTCTTGTAACAATTATTGAAAATAAAGATCCTCTTCCTTTACAACTGCCTGGTAACCCCATAGCCATGAGCCAAAGCAACATGGATCTGCTGCAGTGTTAGTGCTAATATATCCTTCATTGCTGAGCATGTGCCTAAATGGGGGAGCCACAAAACAAAGGCCTGGTGCTAACTGCCTCTTCTACACCAAAAGGGATCTAGGTTGTGGGCAATTAGGCAAAATAATAAATGAATCTCATAGAAATGCATTCTAGTAACTGGAACATAAGATTTTGGAAGATTCCACAGTTCTAGTCCTTATTATCTTATTCCTTAAAGTGCTACTAAACCCACAACAGTAAAATCTGTCTGTATATGCAGTAAAGCATGTTAGTTATACTCACTGTGGAACTTTAGGGGTTAATGCTCTGCATTATGTAAAAAGGATGTTTGATCCTGTCTTTTCTGATCCTCCCCTTCTTCCATGTTCCTCATTTCATCTCCTGATAGACCATTGCCATCGGGGACACCCTGCACATGGTGTGTACTGCTAGAGAGTTTTTTCTTTTTTCTTTGGGAGGGTGCATGTGATCAGCACAGGGCCAATCAGCACTGTCCAGATAGATGGTCAGGGGTTATGCAATCTCATAGGGCAGTGAGAGGAGAAAATAAACTCCTCCTGCAAGCTTTAACCACTGCTCAGCTGGACACTAATAGAAGTCACATGACTGCTCTAACTGCTGATGAGAAAAGGTATTTTGCAGTTTATATTTACTAAAATATTTGCATTTCCATGTTCTGGGTACTGTGGGAGATTGGATATATTGAATGCAGGGTCCTGGGTTTAGTAACACTTTAATTTTTTTATTTGTATTTGATACAGGGGCATAAAAGTAAAAAAAAATAAACCTCAAATACCTGCACATTTTCTTGAGGACCAGACGTACCAAAGAGCATAGGCTACCAGCATCAGGCTGCTGCTGTTTTTGAGATGGGGCCTATAAAGGATTTCAATGAAGCAGCACACTTTTTTTCTGAAAATATACTTTTCAAAATGCAGCCCATGGTAGTCAGTGGTGATTTCCAGGGCTATTAAATTTAAGGTAATTGCATTCTTTGAAAAGTTTACATAATCCAAGGTAGAGTGAGAGAAGACAGGTAAAGTGTGGCCCACAGACACTCACAGACAATAGCTTTTCAAAAAATCTACTTTTAGATTATACCAGACCTTTTATTTCTGTGACTTTTTCCCATTTTGACATGTCTGCTCATAGCTGTAGAACTCGCATACACATACATGAAACTTACATACACAAGCATACAGCATACATACAGGGGCATATTTACCACAAGGCAAACAAGGCATTTGCCTAGGGTGGCAGTTTTCAGGGGGGCAGCACCCCCCCCCCCCAGGAAGAGGGGCAAAATGCGGCATGGGGACTAGGTGGGATCTGAAAGAGGCTGCGGGCTGCTTGATGGTGTATGCAGAGCCTGCAGGTGAGTGTCTTTCACTCTGTTTCTGGGGGGGGGGGGGGTTGGTGTTAGGGGAAGGCTCTCTCGGGTGGGGGGGGCATGAGTGTTGGAGTGTTGTTGGTCACTGGTGTGGCGTCTGATTTTTGTGTTGCCTAGGGCAGAAAAAAACTAAATACACCACTGCATACATACACACTGCTTATACATACCTGCAACATATATACATATGCATACAACATACATACACACTGCACACACATGTATACAACACACATACACAAGAATGCAACATACATACACACTGCATACTCATAATACTATACATGCAACACACACCATGAATACATATGCATACAACATATATACACACACTGCATATACATACATGCAACATGCATACACACTGCATACTCATAATACTATACATGCAACACACAGACACACTGCATGAATACATATGCATACAACATATATACACACACTGCATATACATACATGCAACATACATACACACACTGCCTACACATATGTACATGCATATACATGCATACATACACATATACATGACATACATACACACTGCATACACCTATATACAACATACATGCATTCACACTGAATACAACAAACATACACATGAATATAAATACATGCAACATGCATACACATACATGCAACACATATACACAACATACAAACACAATTAAACACCTAACTTTCGGGGGGCATATTCATTTTCCTGTGTCCCGGCTCCAGCCATTGTAAAAGTGCGGGGTTAGCAGCAATGTTTGTTTTTGCTCTGGGAGCAGCTTACTCCTGTCCTATCCACTGTCCTGTCCATGGCGCAGCTCCTGCTCTTGCTCCTCCTCCTTTCTTGGAAGCTGGTATTTACTGACATTTACTGACAGTGCCCAGCAAGCATGACTTAGAAAAATGACATCACGCTTGCTAAGATTTCAAAGATGTAATTATTCCAGATATTGCTGGGTCAAATCCGGTAATCTCCCAGGTATGTTATTAGCAGCATAACAAATGGTGGTGCCCTATTTGGAGGTGGTGCCTCCAAAAAATCATGGAGCCCCAGTATTGTCAACATTTCTCTTAAGTCCTCATGCACACTGGACATTTTTACAGCTGCTGTTTTTGGCTTTTGACATTTTTTCTACAGCCAGTAAACCCCCCAGCATGTTATCCCATGTGTCCCTGCACACATAGACTGTAATTAACGTTTTTTGGCAGGAAAAAACCCAGGACTAGTGGGTTTCTAGAGGAATTTTTTAGCTGTAAAAATGCTTTAACACTGAAAAATGCAGCAAACCGGCATTTTTGGACTTTTTTTGACCCAAAAAATTTTTCTTGGTAAAAAAAAAAAAAAAAGCTAAAAAATGCAAACATGGAAAAATGGCACTAATCTCAGCAAAACGGCACTAAATGCTAATGCAAAAACGCTAAAAAAAAAAGCTGAAAAACTCACGTTTTTAATGTTACTTTACACAGCTAACGTTACCAGCGTTATCAAAATGTCCAGTGTGCATGAGGACTAAATGTGACTATTGAATTCTTCACTATTCTTAGAGCATACCCAACACCACAGTATACCAAACATGTTCATGGCAGGGGCGGACTGACCATTTGGAAACTCGGGCACTGCCGAGGGCCCGGGGTCAGTAGGGGGCCCCATGAGATGCCCCTGGTACCTTTTTCATAGGCTTTTTTGAGTTTGGGCAAGGACACAGGGGCCCCATGATCCCCTATTGCCCGGGGCCCCATGAGTTGTCAGTCCGCCCCGGTTCATGGTCATCTAGAAGAACTTGCTGAGCTACTGATTGTAAACATTCTTATTTGTGTAATGCTATTGCTACTGGTATTCACTACTACAGGTAGCCTTCATTACAACATTTACAACATTTTCATAAATGTACCTCCATTTTAAAATGCAATATATACAATATATTTAGTAGGGAAGAGGTGAGGAAAGTGTGCAAACTAGTCTCAGCTGTGCAGCGCACAATTGCGCACTCAACCAATCCCCTGTATTCTTTATTAAAGTATATGTAAACCCTAACAATGAGCATGTCTTTTTTGGTCCCTTTTGGTCTAGTAATAATTTCATTGAAAGAGTTTTGTTATATCTGTTTCATAAGTGCAAAAAAATACCTGTTGATTCCCGCCAGAAACATTGCGAGCCATTAACTTTCCCTGCTGTTTGATGCTGCTAAACTGTTGTCAGTTACATTGTTCCCAGCTATCTCTGAAGGCTGCAGAACCCTTCTCCCCTATGTTATGGAAAAAAGGAGAGGAGTAGTAGGTTTCTGAAGTCTGTAGACCTGTTCTAAGGTGACAATGTTGCTTTTCCACAGATACAGCACAGTGAGACAAGTGTGTCAGTGGCAGGATCATCGGGTGTGGAAAAAAAAAAAAAAAAAAAAACAACCTGAAAAAAATTAATGGAGCCAACTCAACTCATCATCTAAAGACTGGCAAATTTCATTATATTACATTTTTGTTCTTGGTAGTTTATGAAAGGATGATATTCTTTATCCCCTCAGAGACCCCCCGGTCTGTGGAGAGATTCCTGGTTTATCAGCAGAATTCTGGGAACACCCCTTGAACACGGAAATAACGGCAGCTTATGTTCAGAGA